CCTCAGTCATTAAGAATCACACAGCCCATCAAATCACACAGCCTCTTAAGTTTCATTCCTTACCATAGAAACTATGCTGAAATTTCTAATGCACATGGAAGGTGTTTAATTTTACCTTTTTCTTTTTGCCCTCATGTTTGACAGGGAGCATTGCCTCCTACCGTTCACAAGATATCAGACTGACCAATCCTAAAGACAGATCTTCCCACTTAATCCTGACCACACTGTGCCACAATCAGACACTGGATACACAGCAGAAAATTCTTGCAGGGCAAATAGCTCGAGATCATTCATGCTTGTTTTGAGCCAATCTAAACTGAAGTTGTACTATCCTTGTAGGTGGGACAAATTTGAGATGCAATCTTCCTTAATCTTTTAGTAACTTGAAGATGCGAGAGAACAGAATTTCTTTCAGAAATTGGAAGACAGTTCTGTTTTCATATTTCTGATGGAGTTCTAATGTGGTGATGGATAATGTAGATCTCTGGCATAAAAGAGACACTTCTTCACTCACTTACTTCCTGATTTGCAATAAGCATGGTTTGTTATTTGGTCTGAAGTTGGCAAATTAGGTTACTGTAAACCATTGTTCACTTCCAAGCCAGAATGGGAAACCCAGTTCACAGTGCGGTTTCCAGTTCTGTATGGAGGCAAATTGTTTTAGGCATTAAATATCATTTGCCCTGTTTGGATGTATTGAAAAAGGATTGTATCCAATTTAAGGGTAGGCAACACATTCCGTCATTGCAAGAATTTCTACTCGTACAATGGAACTTTCCCCTCTCTCCTCCCATTGTGTGTACCCTAAATCCATGGAGCAGGAAGGGAGAAGGAAGGAAGCTTCAATGCAGAAATCATTGCAATGACAGAATGCATTGGTTGGATACTGCCCTTGCTATGGTTATAAAGCACCAGGAAGTGAGGGAGAAAACTGGAGCACATAAGGGGAGGTAGAGAAGCATACATTTGAGCATAAGGCCTTCCTGGCCTAAGCATGGCTTAGCTATAATGCCTGCTCTGAGCTACTGTTTCCACTCATGTTATCTTTGGAATAGTACAATAAAAGTAATGAATAGACCAAGAAACCAGGAAATGAACTACAAAAAAATCCCTGCTCTGATGTGGTTGACAACAATTTCAGCAACTCAGATTTTTCCAATACGTCATACACAATTAACAATATTATTTTTCAAGAGGTTGAGGTGTAAGGTTGTAGCACCTTATGAAAACAACAATTCTCCCCTTTTATCTAAAGTAAGAGATGAGATTACTAGAATTTTACAAAGCAATCATGCACAGAAACCAGGAAACACGTTGTTGTCAGGCAGTCTCTGAATTTGCCCCCTTTCACTGAATGCACTGCTTTTACTAACACTAGAAATACTTAAGAGGAACACTTTCCTTCCAAGTTATTTTGAAACCAGAAATGTTGTTTGTGTTTCTGAATCACAGGTCAATTTTTAGCCAACAATTCTCTGGCAAAAGTCTGAGTGTGCAGGGGGACATTTCAGTCCCCTCCAGATATAGTTTTTATTGTGCATTCATGGTAAGTTATGCTGATCATGCTATTGGAGTGGTCCCAATTTCAATACTGTTTGTACCAGCAAAAGTATTGGGTCACACTGCTTCATTTCCAGTCAGTGTACACACCTTGTAACTTCCTGCTGAAATTCCATAACTTTTCATCCCACAAACATTCTGGGCATTTTTTTTTTGTCCCACTTTTGCTATATTATTGGGAAAGCATTGTTGAACTAATAAAGCAGAATAAACACATCGCCAACACACTATTATTGTGTTACAGAATCCACCCACAATAAGGACCCGCAAATAGTCACTTAAACAAAAAGACAAACACGCCTTTTAATCTAATATTTCAATGTATGTTTCTGAAGCATTCCCCAAATTGAATCCAATGACTTATTTACCTTTTGTATACCAGACAGCCCATGCTATTGATCTCTCTGTCCAGTTTGAATCTCCGAAAGTCCTCCCAAGCGTCTTTGATAGCTGTGATGGCCATGATAACACAGACTGGGATCACAGACACCCCAGGTTCAAATGCATTGACCACCGGCACAAAATTGAGTACTGCAATGCCCACAAAATATAAATTAGCAAATCGATGAAATTGTTCATACAGGTTTTTAGGGATGAAGGACAGAAGGGTGTATCTTGTGGTCTTGATCCTGTTGCCCACATAATGTCTGTTTGGGTTTTCTTTCCACGTGTCTTCAAAGGGCAAGTTAGAAACGACGACTCTTTTTGCTTCTTCTTTCTTTCTTCTCCTCGTCCTTCTCTCTTCAGGCTCCTCATTCTCAGAATCAGAAGCAGCATTCTGGCAGCATGGTCTTCTGAACCGAAAGATGTCCCTCAGGAATTTTATAGGGCACATTTCCTTGACATCTTCCTGCCCCTTAAAAGCCACACTTTCTTGCACAGGTTTCTGAAAATGTAAGCTTCAGTCTTTAAGTAGATTTGCTGTACGGCAAAGTGCCGGTCTGAGTTTAACTAAAGCGATTGCTTTCACTTGCTTTTAGTCAACACCTGCTGGAACACCTGCGTCACAAATGCACACAGGTATCATCCTACTATAAACCGGTTTTCCAGTCATCCAAGTGAGTGATCCTGGGTCCTAGTGCTTGCTCTTTGTAGTGATGAATGAGGACTTTGTTCCTCAGATATACACTTGTATAGAAACTTCCTGAATCTCACTATGAACAGCAGACAATGTTTCAGCCTATTTGTCTCTTATTTGAATATTTGGGACATATTCTTAATATCACAAGTTTAATGTATATTAAATGCTGTGTGTGTGTGTGTGTGTGTGCGCGCGCACATGCATACAGGGCTCAAAATCAATCAAATTTCTGCACAAAGAAATTCTATGCAACAAAACTAAACTACACACAGACCAAAGATGAATTCTACAGCCTGCATTATTTGCACACAAAAAGAACATTTGCATATTTGTGTTTACTTTTCTTAATATATTGTATTTCTTGTCACCATGAGGATTCCCAGCCTCTGGAAATGTTATTCCTTTGCATTCTGCTTCCTTCTTGTAGCCAAAAATAAAGTAGTCCAGTTGGGCCTGGACCAGGAAGTGGAAAGGAGAAAGAGGAGTTGAATACAGAGCTGCTGAAAACAGGTTGCATCTTTATTTTATGAATAACTTTCTGTGGTGTGGTGTTAGGAGGGCAGGGCCAAAGCACTGTAGCACTTGTAAACCCCCCCCCCAAAAGACATAGAACAATGCAACTTGATGCCTCCTTCCTTAGCTATTGATGTGAGGCACACTTCCAGTTACAGGACTGTTCTAGTTACAGCCCAAAATTTCTTAAGGAGTCCCCACAAAGAGGTTTCCTCCCAGTTGTAAAAACATATACAGATCTAGTGACAAGCAAATACTACATGGCTTGATTTGAACTGGGATCAGAAAATCCATTTCAAACAAAATATTGTGTCTAAGTTAATTCTGAGCCCAAGTCTCAATTACATATTTGGGAATGCAGCAAAACCCAAATACCCTCCTGAAAGTCTTCTAACCCCACATCATGAGTAGGGATGGACGAAACTGGTCTCAGTTAAGTTTCTCATTTTTTCCAATCTTAAATTCAGTTTTCCACATTTCCATAGCAATTTGTGGTTTTAAAAAGAGATCCTCATGAAAATTCACCAGCCTTTCATTGCAATTTTCTCCTAATAAACAGATTTCCATATGCAATTTTGCCTAAGATACAGTTTTGCAAGCCATTTCCCCTAATAAAAAGCATTTTTGTGCGCGTGTGCTACTTTCACTAATATGTGTGCTTTTATGCACATTTTCTTCTAACAGATGCACAATGGGTGGTATTCAGTGCAGATTTACTTAAATTAGATCCATTGAAATTAATGAGAAAGATTATGTTACGTCCATTAATTTCAGTGGGTTTATGCTGAGTAAAACATAGTTGACTACCACCCATTCTTTGTCTGGATAACTTCATCACAAAATTCAGAAAAAGTTTTAATTTTGAAGGATAGCAGCATTTCTGTTTGCATTTTGGTTCACAAAGTAAAATTAGGTAATGTCTCATTAAAATGCAAAGTGCCACTTGCTGGAATGCTGGAATGATGTTACAGGCATCAGAGACCCTAGGAAATAGAATTCCTCCCAGGTGCCTAAGTGTTTTGTATGCCCATAAGAACATAAGAAGAGCCTGTTGGATCAGAATGATGTTCATCTAGTCCAGCATCCTGTTCTCACAGTGGCCAAGCAGATTCCTCCTGCAAGCAGGAGCACAAGAGCATTCATTGGTGGGCACTAGGTGCGTTGGAAGTTACATATCCCTTTTGTCAACAGCAACAAAAACACACAACTCTGTAGAAATAGAAGTGTCTCCTGCAGAAGCATGCAGACTGGTCGTTGCAGTCTGGCAGGAATTCAAGTAATCCCAGCATAACACAAGAATGGTTTTCTAATATGTTTGCCAAAATAAATATTTAAGATGCCATCTAGAGCCAGAAGAGGATTTCAGCATGAATTTTAAAGCAGAAATCACCTACTACAGAATATGATTGCCGGTTATTTAATTGTAATAATAATAATAATAATAATAATAATAATATTTTTTATTTATACCCTGCCCTCCCCAGCCAGAGCCGGGCTCAGGGCAACTAACACCAGTAAAATTACAGTAAAATCATAATAGGAAAAAAAACACACCAATTTAAAATACAGGTTAAAATGCAATTTAAAATGCAGCCTCATTTTAAAAGTAGCCCATGGATCAAAACCGTAAGGGGAGGGAAAACATAAGGGTCAGACTGAGTCCAAACCAAAGGCCAGGCGGAACAGCTCTGTCTTGCAGGCCCTGCGGAAAGATGTCAAGTCCTGCAGGACCCTAGTCTCTTGTGACAGAGCGTTCCACCAAGGCGGGGCCAGTAGTGAAAAGGCTGGAACGGAGCGCTGGAATGGAGATCTGGAGTATTAGTTAATGAAGCAGAAGAAGGCTTACCTATTGTATGCTTTAGTCTTGGAAGAATTGATTTGCTGATCAAACCTGTATCTCTTAAAATCTTCAGCACCATCTTTAATTGCGATAACTAAAAGCACAGCAACCAAAGGTAGCATTGTGATCTCCCTGTGGAAGACTTCTAGCTGTGGGAACCAGTTGATGATCACCAAGAACAGGAAATAGACATTGGCCAGCCTAAAAAAAATTGTATGCCATTAAAAGAGGTTGATAATTTTACACTTGATTTCCACTTCCTAATTTGGTTCTTTTTGGGTAGTTAACAACAACAGGAAAAGTCTGAAACACTAATTCATGGGTAGGCAAACTAAGGCTTGGGGGGCAGATCTGGCCCAATTGCCTTCTAAATCCGGCCCACAGATGGTCTGGGAATCAGCGTGTTTTTACATGAGTAGAATGTGTGCTTTTATTTAAAATGCATCTCTGGGTTATTTGTGGGGCATAGGAATTGGTTCACCCCCCAAAAAAATCATCCAGCCTCCACAAGGTCTGAGGGACAGTGGACCAGCTCCCTGCTGAAAAAGTTTGTTGACCCCTGCACTACTTGGATCACTCAGCTTCTTGAGATGCTCACCCCCTCAAAGGCTGCAAGCTGCTGGGCTTCACTAAAGAATGGTCTGCCAAGGACAAAGGAGATACTTAATCTCCCCATATAAGGCCACTCCTTGTTCAATCGAAATAGAAAATCAAGTTGAGACCATGATCTGAAGTATATGTGGGCTAGTATAGTATCGGGTGGGGATGCAGGTGGTGCTGTGGGTTAAACCACAGAGCCTAGGGCTTGCCGATCAGAAGGTCAGATGTTTGAATCCCCGCGATGGGGTGAGCTCCCGCTGCTCGGTCCCTGCTCCTGCCATCCTAGCAGTTCGAAAGCACACAGTGCAAGTAGATAAATAGGTACCACTCTGGCAGGAAGGTAAACAGCATTTCTGTGCACTGCTCTGGTTCGCCAGTAGCGGCTTAGTCATCCTGGCCACATGACCTCAAATCTATATGCCCTTGGCCACTAAAGCGAGATGAGCGCCACAACCCCAGAGTCGTCCGCGACTGGACCTAACAGTCAGGGGTCCTTTTACCTTAATATATTGGGTTAGTCTGTTGGTTATCATGGCAGCCATGAAATACGGGGTTTTACCCTATCAGAAAGATCTCAACACTAATTCTATGTCACCTCAATAAGCTCATTTACGGAATTTGCCACTCTGTGCACTAAGTAGAAATCCCAACCCATTCCTAGATCCCAAAACCCACAACACACATGCTACATATGTGGTCTGTTACCATATTTTTATATACTATATATTCATATACTAGGGGAACATGATGACAGAAACCAAATTTCTATTTATCCAAGTGACTAGACCTCCACCTGCAAATTCTCCATTAGTGGTGTATTAGGAAACAAACTGTCCATAGCTGTGATAGGAACGGAACTCCTGCTTCATCCAACCATATCTCTGTAATATATGCCAGACAAGGATCTTCATCCAGGGTTAAATTATGTATGAGTATAGTTTTTGCTGTTGTTGTAACTGATTGGTATTAAACATTTGACATAGTGGACTGTAGTCTTTGCCACAATACATTTAAGGTGCCATGGGACTCTATTGTTTTTAATGTTGTAGGTGTTTGGCTGTATCGAAAATGGTATATTTTGTGTATTTTTTTCCAAGCTACCCTGGCTGTACCCCATGACAATTGGAATGTTTTCTGTTAAATTCTACAGTACACTACATTGATTGAGTTTTCAGATTTAACTACCGTAGGTTAGGCTTTTTAAATCAAACTACCCCATCTAACACTTTTTGCTTTGCTTTACCGTTCTAGTATTTCTTCTGAATGCCTTTCCATCCTGAAAATATATGCAAAATCTTTTTTTAAATTTAGTTGTGGTGTGTCTAGAAATACCTGTGAAACTGCTCGAAGAGATTTTGAGGTATAAAAGTCAACAAAGTGTACTTGGTGGTCCGTATCCCGTTTCCAGAATAAACACGATGGACTTTCTCTGATTCTTTCTGAAATCTCTCATTACTGGGAAATACAACTCTCCATTTGTCCAAGACGTATTTCTGCCTCTCTTTGTCAGCTGACAACAGAGGTGCTGATTCCAACTGAGTCTGGGAGACCTCTTCTACGGACCACCGAGACTGCCAGCGATACCAAGCAGAGTCTACTGACAGAGCCATTTTCACCTATGGAATTGCCTGAAAGAAAAACACATAACAAGGGCTGAAAACCAATTCCAGTTTGGGAGCAAATGCATTTCTTGCTAGTGAAGCTTAAGGGCAGCAAATGAACATCTCAAGTTAATGTACTGGCTGCCTGAATTTCAAATATTGTGTTTCCAGAACAAATTGCATAGGCTAACAAGTACAATAAAAATACTTTGAGAAGAGAAAGAAAAAACTGTTTAACTGTTTGGAATAAATCACAGTTTTGTTGTTAAAATGCATACAGGGGTTTTGCAATATCCATACAGAGATCATTTCATACAAACAGAGTGGGAACGTGATGCCAACATACAGTGAACTGAGTCACAGCAGATGTCGAAATGTTACAATATGAAAACCAGGGGAAAGGATATCTGGCACGCTGTGGAATGAAATATGCATATAGTTGTTTATTAGATCAAAGTCTAATAAACTGCATGCTTCCTCAGTGCTGGAAGTGATCACAACTTGTGGAGGGGAAAAAACCTAGAAGACAGCACAAAGCAGCAAGCAATTCTAGAATCCAGCTAATGGTCTAATTCTAAAATAATAATTTAAAAATCTACTTCAGTTTAAGCACAGAAGTCACTTACAAAATGACTTATGTGCCAAAAAAGCATTGAAACTGCAAGCAAAGGCATGTAAGCAAAGGTAACCTCTACACCATGTAAGCCAGAGGTTGCCAACCTGGTGCCCATGGGGGCTGTGGTGTGCTCGAGGTCTTCCTCTGGTCACTGTGAAGTGTCTGATCCTCCCAACACACTGCCCCCTTGGTCACAAAGTGGCGACAGAGGTTATGTTTTTCTCCCCTGAGAAATTGTAGCCTGCTCCTTAAAAAACTGCTACGCTGAATGTGGAAACGAAAGGGTCTGAAATCACCAGTACCACCAATTCTGAAGACTTGGTGCTGTTTCATTGCTTCCTGCTATTATGTTATTGCCAGGAGTGGCTACTACTCATTATAACCCAATGGCACATTCATGTTTGGGGAGGTAGTATTGGAAGCAGGAAGCTGAGACAGAGAGGATAGCCATCACCTTCATGCTCTCCCTACGAGCAGTTTGAGGTGCTCAGTCAGGCTGCACAAAGCACAGGCAGCCTGCTGTCTTGAGAAAGACCAATAAATGCAATGAAAATATCAGGATGCACATCCAAGCGAAATAAATTAGTGTTTTGCATTTTAAATTACACATTCTTGTTTCCCCACCTCCTTAAGCTGGAGGCAGAGCTGGCCAAAAATACTGAGATGCATCTGAACTGAAGGGCAACCCAGTCAGATGAGCAGTGTACAAATAATAATAATAATAATAATAATAATAATAATAATAATAATAATAATAATAATGGCAAAGGAAGACAGGAAAAGCTGGCTAGGCAAGACACTGAACTGAGTGAAAAATGGAGATGGTTGATCATTCATTTATGGGGAATAATAACATTAGGCAGGACCTCTCATCAAACTGTTTTAGAATCTTGCTAAAGACTTCCTTTTTTACTTCAGCAAGCCTCCCCAGTCATAGTCATAGTTATTTATGCTGGTCTTTAAATTTTTGTTGATTTTATCTGTCTTACTGATAATTACATTATATTATTTTCTGTACACAAGTTAGAATTTTTATTAAGTGTTTAATAAATATTTCTAGTTAAATAAATAAAACTGAAAGAAGGGGAGTGAGAGGAAGCTGAAACGATCACGAAAACCTGGGACTTGTCTCTCTTGTTGGGAAAAAATCAGAGATGGCAATTAAGTAGCTGAGAGTTTGAGAGATTTTATGCTTTTTTTCCAGGGGGAGGGGGAGGAATGAACCTCTGGAGCAAATGTAATTAAAGGAGAAATTAATAGCAAGGAGGTAAAAGGGTGGATTGGTTCTTATAATTTAGCGGCACCAACTATCCCTTGTGAAGCTGAGGCTCCAATACTTTGGCCACCTCATGAGAAGAGAAGACTCCCTGTAAAAGACCCTGATGTTGGGAAAGATGGAGGGCACAAGGAGAAGGGGACGACAGAGGACGAGATGGTTGGATAGTGTTCTTGAAGCTACTAGCATGAGTTTGACCAAACTGCGGGAAGCAGTGGAAGACAGGAGTGCCTGGTGTGCTCTGGTCCATGGGGTCACGAAGAGTTGCACACGTCTAAACGACTAAACAACATCAACAAACTATCCCTGTTTGTGAATGGTCACTGTTGAAAATAAGAGTTCTGGATTAGATGGGTTCTTGGTTTGACCTATTAATGACATTTGTATTCTTCCCATTTGCTTCCACTTCTGCCTCCAGGCCCTGGTGTCTTCATTAAAAGTCCCTAAGCAAAAAAGTGAGAAAGCATGGACTAATTGTAATTCTGTGGTTTTCTTTCACCTGAAACAAACAGTGCAGCAACAAGTTCAGACAATCATGTGGTAAAGCTAGTCTTGTCAAATACGATTGTGCAGATGTGTATTGACCATGGATGGAGGACCTGCATGATAGATGTTCAACAGAGCACTGCATTTTTTTTATTTACTTATACAAATTCATTCATACATACAATTATTTAGTTATACAAATTTGTATATCACTTATCATTAAAAAACCGAACCAGTGAACAATCCGAAATCATAAAGTATCATGAAATTATAACAGAGAATCAGATGAATGGTTGGTATCCGGTGCCAGTCATGTTCAGAGTAGACCTACTAAAGTCAATAGACTTAAGAAATTTAAATTACTGTACTGGGAGGCTGAGGGGTAAAGCGGTGATGTGGTTGGCAAGGTACAAATGCACCAGAAGAGCACTGAAGGCAGCCCCTGATGTTACAGTTTTGGAGAAAGGGAATTTTTTTCCCAGATAAACCCTTTGGATGAAAGCTTATGGCAAAACTGCATAACTCCAGTTTGTAAAACACATGCTTATCATGAAGGAAAAGCAACTATTTCCTGCTAAGTATCCCCCATCTCCCCATCTGCTTGCAATTTTGCTGGTAAACAGCAGCAGGAGGGATTTGGGGTAGAAACTGGTGTGAGCCACTAACCAGATCAGGAGCACTTTCTGACTCAGGGCTCCACTGCGGTATTTCCTTTCCAAGTTTTAGCACATGTTTTTAAAAGTGTGTTTATCATACCAAGTAGTTTGTCCTTTGGGGCCTGCAGTTTTATAGGTGTACCCTCCTAACATCACTTTTATTTAATGTAATCCCTCAAGATTGTAGCAGGGGTGTAGCTAGCTGCTCCAGCACCCAGAGCCGCAGGGCAGGGATAAGCCATGCACGGGGGCGCTGCGGCAACCCAAGCACGGGGGCGCTGCGGCGATCCACCTGGGTGTGTGTGTGTGCGGTGATCCGCCCAGGGGAGCGGTGCGGCGAGCTGCCCACGGAGTCTGCCTGGCAGACGCAAGCCCCACACTGCTGTTTTGGGTAGCGTGGGGGCCCGAGGCCAGGAGAGACGCGTGGCTCGGGCGTGCTGCAGGCCAGGCCCCACGGTAAGTGCCGCCCCCCACGGTGTGCCATTTTGTCACCCCCCTCAAGGATGACACTTGGGGCGGACTGTATCCCCTGCAACCCCCTTCCTATGCCGCTGGCTGGAAGAACTGCAACTTTGGAGGTAGCTCTGACGTAGGGTTCATCCCAGTGCTGGATTTACGTATAAGCTAAACATGCTATAGCCTAGGGCCCTACTCTCTTGCCCCCCCAATATACTTCTTCTTAATTGTATTTCAGATCAACAATTACTTTGATAAAATACATATTTTTTATGTGCAAATGGCTTTAGATACCTATTAGGTCCATAAATTACCATATGGCATATATTCAACACAAAAAACAGTGACAATTTGTTGCTGACAAAGGACATATAAAGGGCCCCATTACCTTCAGTAGCTTAGGGCTTCATCAAACCTAAATCCAGCCCTGGTTCATCCATACTTTCGCTTCTTCCATGGCTAGAAAGTAGGGGTCTTTTCTGCTTGTCCTATGCTTTCTAGTCATGAGTCCGAGTAGTATTGCATTTGCCGCACAGCTTTCCCCTGAAAAGCACGCTCTTTGTCCCCAAATTGGAACAAACGGCAATCCACAGATTGCTGTTTGATCTGTTCAGTGGTAAACTGCCAGTTTCCCCAGGGAAAAGTGGCTGGGCCAATGGAGCTGTGGAAGAGCCCCAAAGACAAAGGAAACAAGGGCTATAAGTAGTCGACAAGTTTTGAAGACCAGATATCAGTCTGCCTCTCTGATGAAATCCGACTCTACCTGTACTCAGGAGTACTCGCAATGGGTTTTGTAAGAAGAGGGTGTTAACCTTGGCACTGGAGTTAACCTTGGCACCTTGGAGTCAAATTCCAATGAAATAATTAGCCAGCCTTCATATACATTCCCTACAATTTTATTTAGATAGCAAACTCTTCAGAGGATTCAAGAAGTACCTGCTTGTTGGATGCTATATATACCTAAAAGGAGACGACAAGGAAAAAGAAAAAGAAAAACACTTGTTTGTTATACTGTTGTTGTTGTTGTTGATGTTTTATTACCTGCCCTTCATCCTAAGGTCCCAGGACAGTAATTTAGAACACAGTTTAAAAGAGTTAAAAAACTTACATTTTTTTTAAAAAGTGCTGGTTTAAAGTGTTAATGAATTTTAGTTTTCTAAAGTTCCTCTTCTGGGTTGTTTGATTTGTGAAGTGTCACACTAAGTTGCCTGCCATAGGTATACTAACTTCAAAGATTGTCCTTTTAACTACAAGAAATAATTAATTTCCATTTTCACATCCCCCTTTCATTAAGTATCTCAGTTACCAGACTGAAACTCTCTCATTAGCTGATTTTGACCACATCAGACTGGCCAGTGTCCAGCTGTGCTCTATGTTCCAAATCTCTGCTGCCTATAAATTAATCAGCCAGGTTATTATAATATGGTCTCAAAGGCCTTAAAGGGATTTTCAATTAGATAATGTTATTACAGTCTTAACTCACCTTGTTCTGAAATTGTTTTCAGTGAATTTTCATCCTGACAAAATTACTTGCATCCCAAAGTGTTCAGTCGGAAAAGACCTTTCACAAGTAGGTATCATCACAAAGCTTCCAGCTAAAGTGATGCAAAGGAGACAACTGAGATCAGAATGTTTTATGCAAGGCATTTTCAGAGGCCTGAGGAAATATTAATGGTCCAAGGCCCTGGAAAAGCCTCTGTTAGAGTAACTGCTTTAATTTAGGTCACAAATTATAATGAAGGGTGCGTGGATGGGGTGGAAATAATCAGACTAGTGTGGAGAAGTGGGTGGCACATCCATTGCAACAGGTATGATTTCCAGGCTGTTAAGTTGCCTGTGTCTGCTGTGTGTAAAATATAAACTGGGATTTGCAAAACCATTGGTGAACTATTATTGGTGTCTCTGATACAGCTAGGGGTCTGACTGTATGTTATGTTAAATGTGTCTTAGGAAGTGTTTGATCCCTTTAATGTTATTATTCTCAGTGCTTTTTTCTGGGGTACCCAATGTACAGTCAAACCTCGGTTGTCAAACGTAATCTGTTCCGGAAGCCCGTTTGGCTTCCAAAATGTTCAACAACTGAGGCACAGCTTCTGATTGGTTGCAAGAACTTCCCTCACTCAAGCAGAAGCCGCATCGGATGTTCAGCTTCCGAAGAATGTTCAAAAACCGGAACATTTACTTCCGGGTTTTTGGCGTTCAGGAGCCGAAACGTACGATAACAGAAGTGTTTGGGAACCGAGGTTTGACTGCACTGTTTTTTTTCTACAAGAAAGGCACTGATTGTTATCATTATTATGGCAATTCACTCAAAGAGACTTACAAGCACAATAGAAAAACTTAAACCAACTGCCATAATACTAAGGATGTAGCGGCAATTTTCATTGGGAACACAGCACACGAGGAAGAGAGGCTTAACCTTTCTCTCCCCTGTCACAAAGCTGAGGTAACTCTCCAGTCAGAGCACCCCCTCACCATGGGAGGTAAGAAAAGAAGAGCCACCCTGCCAAGTGCTATTGCCTGCCATTATGATACATGTCCTTGGAAGGACATGTCTTTACATTTTAGGAGCACACTTTAAAAGCTTGAGTGTACACCATATAAAGTGCAAAGCTGTCTTTATATGATATTTGGCTGAGATAAACTGCCTCAACAAACATGCCTGGGTAAGAACGTGCTTCTCAAATAAAGAGTTTTAAAATGTCCCATCTTCTCCAGCAGTCAAAGGTGTGTTTCACCAATCGTGATTCATTTATGACTTTTGCTGCACTTGTTGTCACATGACTGAAACTCGCACACCTATTCATTATAGCCTGCCTGACATACACAACACTCAATTGGGAATTATTGTAGCCACCTATTAAATGGGCCATTTTTAGGTGTTACGATTCTATTCATACTCAACAGGGAATATTGCTTGCAAACACTTATACAGACCTGTAGCTTGTATATATCCAGCGTGTGGCTCTGAAGAAAATACTTTATTGCTCCATACAGCCCCTTTCTCTTTCCCACTAACAGCTAAAGAAAACAAAAGGGTTCATTATAGGCTCAGTTTGCATAATTATTGTGAGCCATGGAATTTCACTTTGTGTGTGCGCACACACATGTGCGCATGCACAGAAAATGGATTGCCCAGAAACAGAATTTGGAGTTTTGCTTTCCTATGTTGATCTTCAGTGTTAAGCATAGTCAAAATTGTTATGTACTGAAGTTCTCACCCTGGGCCAGCAGGGGGATACTGTAGATAGTTTTCACTGAGGTCCACATATGCAAATAAGGGATTGAAAGTGACGTTCAGTGATTGGATAGTTACAGAAAATAGTTACTGTTGCATTCTAGTGGAGCTCTATATAAGCAGGCTGGCTGAACCCTTCACTTCAGTTCTGTTCTGACCTGTGAATAAACAAGAGCTGTTTGAAGAACCGCTGTGTCGTCTGATATGTTCACCCACAACTTAACAAAAATAGATCCACTGAAATTAATGCCCATAAATTTCAATGGGTCCACTCTGAGTATAACTATCATGGAATATCATCTGGCACCTGAAGTGGGAGATGGTGCACAGACTACCAATGTATCAAGGAAGAAGCTCCTCACCAACAAACCAAGCCAAAACAACACACACAGTTTCTGCTTCTAAAAGGGGAGTGAGCCATTCTAAGCTACAGCCAATCTCTAACCAGCTACGGATTTATTTTACAATCTAAATACCCTGCCTACTAGTTTCTTCTATTAGACGTCAAGCTTTCCCGCCTGTACAAATAGCTCTCTTGAAAGCAGTTACATTTATGAACAGTTTGTGTGCTGATCACACTGCCAGCTGTCAGCAGACAAACAATCATTCACACCAAGGGAAGGAAATTGATGCTGAAGAAAAATGGCTCTCAAGCAATGTCCCCATCAATCCAAATAGAGAAAGAACCATAAAGAGTTCCTTGTAACCTAGAGCCTTATTAATGACTCCCCAGCTTTGTTTCTAAATACATAACTTCCCTAGTTTTATTTGATGACAGACATAAAGAAAATGTACCCTCAGGGGTAGCTTTAGAAACTGTGGCAGTGAGGCTGTGGTGCAAACATATCCTGATCTAAGAGGGATTTTATTTATTCTAAACATCCATAAACAGTTTCCCCAAGGCTCCAAGGCTTGAAATTCACCCAAGTCTTGTTTTCAGGTCAGAAATAGGACACATTCCTCTCCCCATTTCTCACAGTACATCACTGCACAACAAACTTGCATATTTTCCCTAGGCTTCGATTTAAAGTACTATTGCCAGGTGTGTGTGCGTGTGTGTTTTAAGTTTGGCATGTTATAAGCTGCTTTGGGCACAATCTGGGGAGAAAGTGGCACATGAATAAATGGATGATTATGAAAACCCATGCCCATTTTCACAGTTAAAGGTAAAGGTAAAGGTACCCCTGACCGTTAGGTCCAGTCACGGACGACTCTGAGTTGCGGCGCTCATCTTGCTCTATAGGCCGAGGGAACCGGCGTTTGTCTGCAGACAGCTTCCGGGTCATGTGGCCAGCATGACTAAGCTGCTTCTGGTGAACCAGAGCAGTGCACGGAAACACTGTTTACCTTGCCGCCGGAGCAGTACCTATTTATCTACTTGCACTTTGACGTGCTTTCGAACTGCTAGGAGGGCAGGAGCAGGGATTGAGCAACAGGAGCTCACCCCATTGCGGGGATTCGAATCGCTGACTTTCCGATCGGCAAGCCCTAGGCTCAGTGGTTTAGACCACAGCGCATAAATTACAACAGAGCAGGGCAAGTTATCAGCGGAGCTAGATTGGGTCAATTGGGCACACACCTAGATAGAAATGCAAGGTGGGCTTTCCAAGACTGTGTAATACATTGAATTCATACAGATAAATGAAGACAAAAAGGAAAATCCATGCCACTTCCATTGTTACTGTTGCAGTAATTACAACAGAGCAGGGCGAACTGTTAATAGCATAACAAGGATGGGCCAGCTGCACACACCTTAGACGAAGATGCAAATGGGCCTCCCACGGTCATATAATGTACTGATAGAAATTGCCAGATATCACTTAGTGAGATGCTTATGAGAGCAGTGTGTCAAGTGGAGAAGTGTCTTTTATTCTCTTTATACCTGTATCCTAACACAGTAAAGCACATTTAGTAGCTCAGTCTTGCTGGCACGGAAGGTGCCAGAGTGCCTTAACAATCAATCCCTCTTTCCAGGGAACTTTGAGAATTGTAGCTCTGTGAGGGGAATCTTAAAAAATAGAGACATCACCTTGCCAACAAAGGTCCATATAGTTAAAGCTATGGTTTTCCCAGTAGTGATGTATGGAAGTGAAAGCTGGACCATTAAGAAGGCTGATCGCTGAAGAATTGATGCTTTTGAATTATGGTGCTGGAGGAGATTCTTGAGAGTCCCATGGACTGCAAGAAGATCAAACCTCTCCATTCTTAAGGAAATCAGCCCTGAGTGCTCACTGGAAGGACAGATCCTGAAGCTGAGGCTCCTAGACTTTGGCCACCTCATGAGAAGAGAAAAGACCCTGATGTTGGGAAAGATGGAGGGCACAAGGAGAAGGGGACGACAGAGGACGAGATGGTTGGACAGTGTTCTCGAAGCTACAAACATGAGTCTGACCAAACTGCGGGAGGCAGTGGAAGACAGGAGTGCCTGGCGTGCTCTGGTCCATGGGGTCATGAAGAGTTGGACACGACTAAACGACTAAACAACAACAACAACAACAAACAACTCTCAGCATCCTTAACAAACTGCAGTTCCCAGGATTCTGGTCTGATTCTGTTTCAAGTGCTATGATACTGTTTTAAATACATAGTGCAGATTGGGATAACATGTGGGCAGGTGAAGAGAGAAGGCCTAGGGCTGATGTCCCCAATGAAGTACTCATATGAAAGCCTCCCCCAGCCCCTGTGAAGCCTTTGTTTGCTTTGTTTCCTATCCTTCTCTCTGGGTTTCTTTATATTTTTTTGTTTTTCCCTGCCCTCAAGGGGTAGATCGGTAAGTTCCCCACTCTCTTCTGTTTATGTTCATCATCCTTCTCCAGTGTCCCCCCCCTTCTCTTGGGGTGGTGCCTTTTCCCCCTCTTCCTGGGGAGTCAGTATTTGTTTTCCCAGCCCTGTGTGTTTGTTTTTCTTCCTTCTGGCTTGTCTCCCTTCCGTTTAGTGTTCAAGAAATACACATACACAGAGTGTAAGCAAGCAGCGGATACTCCCAAGAAATTGTGACTGGGGGTGTCTCCAATGGCAGCCATTTTGTGGTAGTGCTCATGGCACTTTTGAAAATTCCAGCTGTATCCATGCCTCTGAAAAGTTGGGGACATCTGGCCAATGGTTTGGTGTGTTTTTTTAAAAGCACCATGGTTGGGGTTGTGAATAAACTTACTCAAGATATTGCTACTTCCCCACCACAAGAATGCCCCCAAAGAATTGCCACAGATAACAGAAGTTGGTGGCTTGCAGCGCAGCCTGCAAACAGCATTGTTTGGGGCCATTTTGCCTCAGTTTAAATAACTACTTCCATCACTGCAGACAGATACAGCAGGACTAAAGAAAACATGGCCATAAGTTTGTGAGAATAATTCATAACAATCCAAAGTCACCTCTGTATATTTCTGCTTTTGCTGTGGTAAGCATTTCCATGTTTGTAAACCACTGAACTTCAAAGTTCGCTGCAGGGGATGCTACAGGGTGTTCCTTGTTTCAATGTGTAACATAATGGAAGGTGGTGCTCTGGATCCAAAAAACATAGCAAACCATACAAAAAAGGACATCTTAGACAACAGAGAACCTTCCCAACATACAAATTATGCCCCCTTTTATCCATGCCTACAAGCTTTACATGTAACTGGAATAAAAGTCAATATGGATATTTGGTCACAGATGCCGGAATTTAAATAAATTGTGCAATAGTCATTCTGCCAATCTAGTTGGACCATATGCACTACTCATTCTATGGGACTCCATTCTGTTTTTACATGCTTCAAGAATCATAGTTGTTTCCAACTATGTGCGTTTTGTTATGGTGTTGTAAGGTTGTCCTAGTTTGAAGAGTGTATGAATTTCTATTTTTAATTCTCTGTAACTTTCCATAAAATGCAGAGCAACCCTGTCCATGATTATTCAGAAGTGTTCAATGGCACTTACTACTTACTCCCATTAAATAATGAAATAATGTACTTTACAAAAGCTTTTCACATGGGACATCAAGACTATTCTCTATAGGTAGGGCCTGATATGTCCCTTGCATTTCCCTCCTTATCTCTGTCTCCTTCAAAAGATGAGGGGTGTGCTTTTTATTTTACTTTTCACATCCCCCCCAAAAAACCTTACCCAAACCTCAAGAAAGAGACAAAGCATATATATCAAAAGATTGGTATGTATGACTCTATGGGATCTGATCTAGGGCTATCACTGCAAACATTTCAAAAAGGTGCTTTTCAAAAAATGGTTGGGTAGATTAACCCTCATAAATAAGTGAAAGGAGCAATTAATATGGTTAACCAGACTACAGTCATCCATGTCCGGCTAACCTCCAGGTTAGACTACTGCAATGCACTGCACATGGAGCTTCCTTTGAAGATTGTAATTCACATCATAGCTTATAGGCTAGCAGCTGGGACTGAATATTGGGAACACATCTTGCCATTATCATCCAGTCTGTTTCTGAGTTTCATAACTGAGTATGAAAAAGAAGCACCCAAGAGAAGAAATTATATAAATGCTGTGATGTGACATATGCTGTAGGCCACTAACCTAGATGGTTTTTCCAAGACAGATGTTTCATTCCTGCCAACACAGAGCTGCTTGACTGAGGGTGCTTCTCGACTGTTGCTATTTTGTGTGTGAGATTGAATCATATTCCAGCAAATTCAGTTTGCACAATTAAATTTGTGCAACACAATTACTTCAACCACTCTTGGACATTTTGCAGTAAGGAAAATGATCGGGAAAATGTACTGGAAAGTGTGAGATAACAACTGCTTGATGCAACATTGTGTAACCTCCCTGCAAAGAAATCAGCATAGATGTTCAGTAAACAACTAGTGTTGCAGATAATCTGTCCACAGAATTGTGCAAACAAATCATGATGAATGCTCAAAAGCAGGTTGTCTGGAAGCAACCTGAGATTTTCTGTCTTGCCAGTGAGGCCTGGGAGCTGTCCAGCACAGCAATGAGAAGATCATAGAATCATAGAATCATAGAGTTGGAATAGACCACAAGGGCCATCGAGTCCAACCCCCTGCCAAGCAGGAAATACCATCAGAGCACTCCTGACATATGGTTGTCAAGCCTCTGCTTAAAGACCTCCAAAGAAGGAGACTCCACCACACTCCTTGGCAGCAAATTCCACTGTCGAACAGCTCTTACTGTCAGGAAGTTCTTCCTAATGTTTAGGTGGAATCTTCTTTCTTGTAGTTTGGATCCATTGCTCCGTGTCCGCTTCTCTGGAGCAGCAGAAAACAACCTTTCTCCCTCCTCTATATGACATCCTTTTATATATTTGAACATGGCTATCATATCACCCCTTAACCTCCTCTTCTCCAGGCTAAACATGCCCAGCTCCTTTAGCCGTTCCTCATAAGGCATCATTTCCAGACCTTTGACCATTTTGGTTGCCCTCCTCTGGACACGTTCCAGTTTGTCAGTTTGCCAGATCAAAGACAGGGTTGTTAAAGGAGGAGGGGAACTATCCAGCCAAGGAGTCAGAACTAGAGCACAAGACTAGGAGCTGGACCGAAGGGGTGTTTCACTAGCAACATCCGGGCACCAAGATTTTATATCTGCCCTGTCTCACCAGTTTCTTGAACGCCAGTGGGATCCTTGTTCCAAGTATCATAAAGTTCATAATTCATTCTTCTAAACAGGACTCAGTTTGAACTCATCGTAACCTGTAATTGTGGAGACATGGGGTGACCAGAGAGGGCTGCAGCTGAGGTGTACACCTAGTCATGGGTGCATGATGGCCTCAAACTGACCTTAGTCCCAGTATGTGCCTGGGTTAGTCTCATCTGTTGTGGGTTCAGGCATCAGTGATCTTACTCATAAATACAGTAAAGAAAGTCAAGGATAGGTCTATCTTCATATATGTGCAGTCTTCAATTCTACTGCAATATTATGAGCTACATCATCCCTCAGATATAAGGACTTAGCAAGAATAAAGTAGCCTGGTTTCAAATGGAGTGCTGTTGTCAAGAGGATGACCCCACAAAAGTGGAAGGCCTGGATGCAACCGGATAGAGATTGCTGATCTCATGACCTATTGACCCCTGCAGCCAATGAGAAAGTGACATATAAAAAGAGAAAATCTATGTGGTAATGCTTTCTTGACCTGTCTGGGGATTGAAAAGGCATGTGGAATATCTGATTAGCTGGGAAAGTTGTCAATGACTTTAAGAAAAGAACTCCTCCCTGTCTCCCTCCCCTCACTGCTTTTTATTTCGTTATGCTCTTTTAATCTATTTGTTAATGTAGTTAAGAAAGTCTTATATGATTTGGGCATCTTGAAGTTTGGGGTCTTGGGACAATGGAAAGATATTCAAGGGTGGGAGCTGCAGTTGTGTGGGGAAGGGTTAGATGAGCAGAGGAAGTGACAAAATGTTTCAGAATATGAGTCTTTTTATTGTATTGTATTGTTTTTTTAAAATACTTCCGATTTTAAAAAAAGAAGAAGGATGTGCATGTCAATGGCCATCAGCTGTGAACTCCCTGATCAGAGTAACAGATGGTGGGAAGGAACTCACAACAAGAGATAGTCTGTTTCCACACTGACTGTCTACAGTTGGCAAACCAATGGTCCTTGACTTGACCTGACTTGATAGCTCTTCTTTTATTTTCAATCCTGGATTTGATAAATGTAAATATGCATTTCTAAACAATACTCCTGCTGAAGTTTATTCATTAAGGAAGGCACTAACCTTTACCACCACTAAATGCAAAAAGCCCCGTAGCATCAACAATAAAGATGCCAATAGGTTGACTTTACATGCTTCCCCCGTGCACACGCCTCTCAGTAAGAAGACCCCGAGGGATGCTCATGCAGCTGTAAGGGCTCCAGCAGGCTGACAGAGTACTTTCCCCTCTCATTTCTCATCAGCATTCACATCAGTGCTTTTGGCTAATAGACAGGCTTCTGCTTCCAGATACACAGCTAAAGATGAGCATTCGTGCCAACTGAATTAGACCTTTCAACCAGAGACGCTTGGAATCGGTACTCTTCACACATCACAGGCCATCTGAAACCTTCTGCTCATGCTGTTTCGCTGCAGCTACCACATCCCATGCTCATGGAGAACAAGAACACGGGCAATAATATAGGAGGAGAAGCAGCCATGGGCTCTTCTCTTTGCCAGGCTTATATTAAATAATGCATGCTCACCCAAGAAGCATATTTTGGCATATCCAGAGAGCCTGCTTCTAAGGATATGCTACAAACTTCGATTAAAAAATATTGTTGCTTGCTTTAGTTGGGGTTATTTTTTTTGGGGGGGGGTATTGTGGGCACATTCAATAGTAATACAGCACTAAAATTTGAGAATGGAAGGTGTGGGTCATCTGGCAACTGTCTACCTGGCCTGGAATAAGCATCCTCCCCACTTGAGTGACCAGACCAGGACCAAATGAGGATGCAAGTCAGCCTGAGTTGTCTCCTGGTCCCTTGGGATGCTGCTGCTGGTTTGACACTGGACCTAAAGGCTGCTTGTGGAACAAGCTTAAGTGGGAGGTTCCTGACTAAAGAATTTGCAGGCTGCAGCTACAAACTGGGTAAGAAAAGGATCAAATAAAGCCATAGCCAAGCCTCTGCTCCCACCTAAGGTAATTTTTCCTGGTCACCTTTAGGGGGGACAGGAGTCATGAAATCCGCAGAAAATGTAAACCAAATGATTACCTTTTCCTATCAACTCTGGGGACAGAATTGTTTTTCCTTCTTCTTCAGTTCACTCCATTATATTGAGATGTTCTTGAGATTACACACAGTTGTAGCTACTGAAAGTGAAAAGCAGTTTCCATTACAGATGAAAAGTCAATTTCAGTTAGAGTTGAGCTGAAATGAGGATGGAGGGGGTGCTTTTGGTTTTGAAGAGTTCCTAACGTGTAAAACTTTTATGTCCCATTGCAAAAGGGAGTGCAAGTGAGCAGCTCTAAGACACAAAGCACCTTTGGGTCAGCTGCTCCAAAACAGAGAGGGCTGATCTTTTAGAACAGGGACAGGGCCATTTCTTGTCCCTCCCTCCCATATGATTTCCCTCTGCATGATGTTACTCTGCATCCAAATCTGATTGGCTATGTGGCACTGTATTGTCATCACATCAACCATGTGGGCCTGGATTGGCTGGAAATGAAATAAAGGTAGGAGGCAATGGCACCAGAGTAGCAGCGAGGTGGGAAACCAAGTGTCTATAAACAGAAATGAGGCAGGACTAAGGGTTAGGGGCAGGTTGTGTAACTGCTGCACAATATGACCAAGGAAAACTCTTAACATCCAAATGTTGCAGGCAGGATTCAAATCTGGCAGCTTTTGGAAGAGAGTTTAAATGCGGTCAGTTTTACTTTGTCCTCCTCGATACATTTCTGTTTTGCTCTTTGCAAATGGCATATTCACAAACTTTCTCAGTGGTGTTAATGCTTGAATTATATGCTTGGCTTGTGGCTATACTTCTGGCAGGCTTCTCTACTGTTTGGATAGCTTCATAGCCTGCGTGCCAGCCAGACATCATAATCCTGCATAATTTGTGATAACCAGGTGGCAAACTTTCAATCTAAGCCACGTACAAGTGGAGGTGTTGCATGTGCCGGCCACCTCATTCTTTCAGTTGAGGCAGCAGATTCACCCGTGGGTGCAAAGCAATGTTATTGTAGATCTCCCACCCCCAGCGAAATGAATGAGAAAGCCATTGCAGGGACAGAGGCTTCTGTTCCTTGTTTGAACCTGAATGCTTTCCTCCAGTATAAGGATATGGTTCAAATGCTGTCCATCTATGAACAGGTAACATGCAATTTCCCCATGTGGTTAGACCAGCATGAGGAAGAGTGCAGATGTGCTCCCCATTCCCACCCCTTCCAGCTCTCCCTTGTCTTGAAGGGCTAATGTCTGCAATGGGCAGGCTGATGTCCTCTTGGAGGCTTTATGCAATTTAGGCTCCTGATCACACATGATTCTATGTAAATCACATTGCGGTGGGTTCTCAATGTACAACAGGCTCCCTGCTGCAGACATTTGCCTTCCAATTTGTGGAGGCTGGTGGGGCTGGCTGACAGGGATGTTGACAGAGGAGGCAGAGAAAGACAGCATCTCTCCACTCTTCCCATCATATGAAGAATCATATGCATTCATCAGGGGAAGAATGCAGCTGGTGGTGGAGAGAGAGAGAGAGAGAGAGAGAGAGAGAGAGAGAGAAGAATACCATTGAGTGCTAAACCTTGTGAACTGTATTTCTTCCTTTCCAAAAGGAACAGAAATCTTTCCAGCCTAACTTGGGGTCTCCTAGATATTCATTATCTTTCATGCTGTTTGCGGACGGCTCTGCTTTGCTCCCAAAGCAACCAGCACAGGACTAGAGCTGCTCATTTTGCTATTACAGGGAATGAAGATCACTCATGGTTTTATCACTTAAAACCTCCGTTTTCCGGTTTTGCAGTGTGTTTGGCATAGCAACTGCAACACTATACGTAAGATAAAGGCAATTATAGTGCAATAATGTTTTCAAAAGCTTGATGAGTTCACTGTGGCAAATGACTTCGACTCTGTTGTCCTGACAAATTCAGTTGAGAGAACGCTGGGGAAGGAGGATGTAAAAAATATTTGACCAAAAGAGGGCAGAGGCGCATTGTACAGAGTGATGAAATGCAGAGACACGTAATCAGCCTAGTTACTTGGGTTTTTATTGCAGCACCTGGAGCACATAGGATTTTTTAATATATTTTTTACTTTTGCACCAGAAAATACGACACAAATAGTTGGTTCATTGGGTTTCCACGGTTATGGTAGTTTGTAGAGAATTACTGCTGGCACCATAGTTTAGAAAACACACACACACACACACACACACACACACACACAATTGATAAAGAAAGCATTAAAACATATAGTATGAAGGGGGGAAGGGATCTGTTCTGTATGTCTGTATGGTAACAGAATCCTGACTTCTTGTACGTGCATATCCCATGTACATGATTTCCCCCTAAAATAACAATACTGCTAGCCTGGAAAAGAGAACAATGTATTAACATGGCTGTAGCCTTCATCCTGGAAAATGTTACTTTCTTTTATCAGGGTTTTAGGGTTACACACATTTTGAACTTGTCAGCCTTGACAACATTCTTTTAATTATCTGTTTATGTTGGGATGGGGACTCCATTTTCATTACTATTTAGATGATAATGTGTGTGTGGAGGGAACTATTCTTAGCATCTTTTTATAATTCATTTGCATCAGTCTAGTAACAGTAGACTATGTGTGGAAAAAAACCAAGTCCCCAAGTGGATCATTCTTCCAGATCTGAATCTGTTTGCTTAGACACTCCACTGCTTCTGCTCTATTCAGCACACTGCTGTATAATGAACATGCTGCAAAAGATGGAGAGACCTATTTAGATAGCCATATAAATGAATCAAGTCCCATATATGGATTATGACACCAGGTTTGGCATTGGGAAACCATGGAAGCTGTGCAGCTGGAGAACACACCCTGAAACCATGTTCATTACCTAGATGGTTTTAACACATGGCTGTAGACTAGACCTGTGTTCTTTCCTGGGCTTTTACCTGCACTTGTACCTCCTCTTCTTCCAGGGATACAAGGAAGGATAAAGTGGATCCCCTTCTTGCCAGTTCTTTACCCTTATCAAGTCAAACATCCTGGAATGGCCTACTGAATATTACTGGTGCACCTTCAGACATTTCAGCAGGGCAAGTGCAGAGATGTCAGAATTTATGGGGAAAGACATACAGAGCTCAGCATTGTCAGAGTAATGGCAATATTTTGCATTGTACAGTATTGCCTGTGAATTCATGAGCACCCGTGTCTCCAGGACAAGCATTTTGTGACGGCAATAAGTCTGGAAATCAGATGTCATCTGGGGTCTATAGAAATGGGCTTTTGTTGTATTTTATGCTGAAAACGTTTAATTAAAAGATGATTATTAAGAAACAAAGATGTTAAGGTGCTAATTACATGCATAATCTGTAGTAAAACTGAAAGAGAATAAGAGACACGAAAGTATAGTCTCTGATAGGACGGACAGATGCCGAAAAGCACAGGGCTGGTGCACCTTCAATAGCTGTGTCAAAGTGGGAATTTCAGCAGGTGTAGTTTGTCAAGTTAGAGCTGCTGAAATTTCCTTATCTAGAAGACCATTAAAGGCATGGGAGGCCTATCCTCTTTTGCATGGGACCACCCTTTCTCTGGGAGAATGCTGCTTCCTTGATTTGCCACTTGGTAGCCTTGATGCTTACATCACTTAGAGTTAATGGTAGACTTTGCAAGAAGTGCAAAGGCCAAATAGGTGAGTTTGCTTCCTTATTGGAAAAGTGAAATGAGACAAGGAGACGTTGCAACAGTGGGCTTCTTGGGAAGATGTAAAGGGAGCATATGTTTGCTGAGGCCAGGCCTGGTTTTCAGTTTAAGCTTCTGTTTAGCTAAGTGGCCCATATCTGCTTGGCTGCTGTGAAACCCTGCTATCCTGTCACCTTTCTCCTCAGAACATGATGATATTCCCAAAGCTTGCTGCCTCTGCTGTTGACACAGAATCCTGTAATCTGATGCCCATGTCTAACACCAGAGCTGTGTCACTGCTATACCTCCTGCTGGCTGTAATTTGTCTGCTTCTGTTGCCTGTTGCTAGTAGCACACTCCAGGAAACAGGGCAAAGAAGTAAGCAGGGGTTAAGAGCTGCTAGTGCATCTGCAATGGCCAAGAAAGAAAGAAAGAAAATAAAAGCACAACCTGTGGCCAGGTGTTGTTGAAGACAGGTAACTGGTGGATGGTGTGACCTCGATTGTCGACAAACGAGGCTTAGCAACAACAGATGTCAGTGAAGCCAGGCCATATGTTGTTACACAATTGCTTTGGAAGCTGACACAGTTCCAATTACAATACATCCCCATGGAGACGGGTTCTGCTAATGATTAATGACTCTTGATCTCTTGAGCTGTTTCTACAAGAGCACTAATATTTGACATAAAAGCACAGAGCTCTGCTTTCAGAGTTGCTGCATGTGTGTGCTGGCCACCACCTGTTGTTCAGGGACCTATCCCTTTCGTAAACACAAGGAAGGGTGAAGGAAATAGGGAGAAAATGTTTATATGTCAATAGAAGTCCATGTAGGTATAGCAACAGTATAAACAGATAGCCGCTGCTTGGCTGGCAGTGAGCAAGGGACAGGCACTATTTTGCAGGACTGCGGGAATGAATTATTCAAGTCACACTGTTTGTCATTTTCCAGGCAGAAACCTTTCCCCTCTGGTCATTGGTAAATCCCATCTAGGAGATTACCTGCCAGAGAACACCATTTCCAAATCTTCAACACTCCACTTGCTAATTTCCAGGGCATCTCTGCTTGAAATGCATTATTTACAAGAGAGCTTTGTGTGGAAAGGTATTAAGGAAAGTTGCATAAGCCTTGCAAACCTGGCTTAAATTAGGAGCAGAGAACAAGGATCTGCAACATAATTCTTGCGGCTTGGCTACAAAGAGGCCTCGTCACCGTAGGTAAGCTTGTAAGCATCAGCCCGGTGTCTTCAGCTCTCTGTGCGTCTGTTTCATGGTTATGTTTCACCATGGAAATAGAACAGCAGCTCCTTTTCATTCCTAGGAATGTGCCCCACGCAGCACTTCCTGGGCTGCCAAGGATGTCAAAACAAATAAGATATGGCAGTCTTTCTCAATGCGCTGCCGATTCTTAACGTTAAGGGAACACCAGCCAGCAAGCAGTGAATTTCATAATGAATAAACGCTAATTGCAAAACCAAGAGCTGTGAACTTGGGA